CCAGGGTCCCGGTCAGCGCTCTGGTCCCTCGTAAGGGGACATACGGGTAGTCCTGGGAGTCAGGAGTACGTAACACAAAGGCTCCGTGTACGCTCCGTGTATTACCTGGGAGTGCCTGTTCAGGATGTCATTTATTAGGAAAAGAAGCTCAAAGACCAGTTTGGCACCTCCTCTGTTCCCCGTGTGGGAGGAAACATTATAAACCTGCTTTTATGTAACACCTATAAGGTGAGTTCCTCGTGGACTTCACTGCATTATCAACTTCATTCTTGCACTCCTGAAAAACAGCCGTGGAATTTGGAAGAAAAGTAAAACCAAACCAACCCTCTGCAACACGCACACAAACCACCCCACAAACAACCAAAAAAAAAGGTTTTCCGTTTGAGCCCAGGAGCTAGGAACAAAACCTAACAGTGAGTGAAGGTGAGTGATGCAGGACCATTGCTTTTTGCACAGGAGTCCCAATGCCTTCGCAGTCACTCAGTTCAGAGATCCCCAGGGCCCGCACACATCCAGTCCCTCAAGCAAAAGCTGCACAAAACCCTTATGAGGTGTTTAAAATAAACTCAGGAAATCTGGTTTTTTGGCCTTTACCTCAAACCTACTCCAAACTTGTAACTCCTAGTTAGAAGAACGAGGACATCTGAAATAATTGATGCTCCGATATACTGGGATGATGTCAAGAGGTTGAGGATCAAAAATAGTGTCAAACATGGCAGCTTGCAACAGAATTGTAGGAGCATTATTTGAAGATGTGTTTAATAGTGGATAAATGGAAGTAGGATCAAACTAGTTCTACGATGAAGCATGGAGGGAACATAACGTTTGGCAAGTATATGGTCTATGACGAGAGACTGTGCTACGTTTAGCACAGCTCTGCATGCATCACCCACACTAACCTACTTAGAGCCAAAGTTCTTGGTATTGCAAAGACAGGGTGTCTTTTTTTTTTTTTTTTTTTTTTTTTAATGGAACATAGAGTTGGCCAGTTAGTGTGTGATGCAATTATGTATCTGAAGTACTTTCAATAATAATTGTGTGTGGTTTAGATTTTGAGTATTTTAGAAGGGTATAACATTCCAAAGAAAAATGTGAATTCTTTGTTCGTTCTGTGCTTAAAGTTCCTAGTGTTTTTATAGCTCATTATTACATCAACAGTTGGTGTGTTCAGGTAGGCACCTCATGTTTCCTCCACCAATTCTTTGGCTATATAGGTAGCCTGACTGCACAATGAACTTCTTTCCTGAATCTCATTTTGCCAGCACTACTAAAACTGCTATCAGGCTATGCAGTCTAGTCTTTCCTTCAAAATTCTGATCAGCTTCCCTATTCCGGTAGGAGTTGCAAATGTATTAGCTTTTCACTCCTTAAATGTTGGGGTTTTTTTTCCTTTAATTGGCATCCCCATCCCACTTACTCTTCACACAAAATTTCAGCCTTAATAGGACAAATAGCAGGGCTCAGATCCCCTCATTTAGACTCTGCAGATCCATGCTGAGATGTGCTGCAACAAGTTCTGCAGCATCCCCTGCCTGCTAAGGGACAAGCTCCTGGTCCTGTCCCATACATGGTGATTGAAAGGGCAAGTCAAATCACACATAAGGAAAAGTAAACAGAACTTACCCTAATTGGGCTTTATGTAGAAGAGCAGGCTGAGGAACACAGGCAGCTTTGAAGAATGAGGGTTTTCAACATGTAACACAGGCAAGGGGAGGGGAATGCCCTGTAGAGCAGTGGAGGAACTTAAAATTATTTTAAACATGAAAGTCAAAGCAGATGTATGGATTGCCTGGCTTTCATTTCTGCTCTCTGGGGCAGCCTGCAATTCTAACATGATTCCACTTTCTACCTACACAGTTCTGACAAGAATAGATGATCCATCAGAAGTTAATCAATGGCTGCCTGCCGCTGCTCCTCATCAGAACCTCATGTTGCCAGATCGCTTCTTCCTCCTTCCCTCTTTGCACTCTATCCCATGACTCGAGCCCTCTCAGCCCTTCTGTGTTACTCTTTCTTGTCCCAAATCTTTGTTTTTATTCTTCCTCTTCTTTTTTCCCCTCCAAAAGAAAATCCCCACTTTTATTTCTGAGAAGAGAATTTGCACACATTGAACAGTTTCTTTGTTATCTTCTGTAGTCAGCTTGCATACTTTGTCCTCATTTCTCAACAGAAGAAAACTCACATCAATAAAATGAAAAGAACTGTGAAGTTCTAAAATTTATTCAGTTTCCCTAAACTCCTAGGCACTACAAACATAGGGTTTACCAACAACTCCTCCACATTTAGTAATCCGAAGTAAATAAACATGCAGCATAGAAATTAGCTATAACTACCAGTTCATCTTTTGATATTCATTCTTTGGAAGTTGCTGGCTATTAAAACATCTATTAAAAGATAAGTCCCCTTTAGTAGATGCTAACTTCCTTTAGTAGAGTCAGACTATTTCAAATAAAAGGAAAAGAACGGAGAATTCATGTTCCAAGTAAAAGAAGCCTTCAGAGAGAGTGTCTGATCCCCTTATTTCTGCAAGCCCTTTGCGAATCTCAGCAGACAATCAAGAATGTTGAAATGTTCAGTTGCCTTTTTCATTGATGGAATGAAACATTAATAGAACACTGTTGGGAGCTGGGCACTGTACTGACATTGCTTTATCTATTGAACAGATTGTAAGTGTTGTCAGTTTAGCACCTTTAAGTACTACCCTCATACACAGAGAAAGAATTATCTTAAAAGGTCATTTTTAAAGGAAAATTATGAAGAGCTGAAATAGTACATCCAGTATGAATATGTCATGGCATCTCCATCACTATCATAATACCTAAAAAATATGCCTAGAAATATTTCAGTATATCAGGTCATGTCAAGCACATGAGGTCTTTCAATTATCTCAGCATTCCAGTGGTTCTCTTCAGGTCAAGCCTTTAGAGTACAGTCTGTTGGAAGAGTAGGTGAACGAATCTCCATTTCAGTGCTGCTCTTCAAGTGCTGAAGAGAGAATATAATATCTTCTGACTGCACTTTTGCCCTAAGAATAAAATAATCTTTGTTGTGGTTCTGTAGAGACACAATAGCAAGTCAGCAAAGAACACAGCCACACTCAAATAAATTACCTTAAAGATGCCATTCTTAGTTTAATGAAAATGTTGACTTTTCAAAGAAAGAAATATTATAATACAGCATTTCCTCACCTAGGGAATAAACTCAAGTGTAAGTATCTTTTTAACTCATCCATCAACTGTGAAAGGAGAATTAATAGTATGAAATCCTGTATAATTTTTTTTTTCCTGTGAGCACACAGTTAAAGCCATGACCTACCTGTCAGAATCCAAACAGCAAACTCTTTCCTTGTCCATCAAAACATCACCATCTCTAGCAGGGAAACTGACCTCTTCAAATCTTTCGAAAGAGAATTGTTCCAGCTTTCACTCTTTAACCATGCCATTACAGCAAGTGCCTTTCTCAGTGATCTCTGCTCTTTAGTATTTTATGTTAAAATATAAAAAGGAAAAGACTGAATCAGATGCCCTTGCTGTTTTAAATTACAAAAAAAGAGAAAATCCAATATCAATAGTTTCTGAACAATAAGAGTTTGAAATAATAAACATCAGACTGATACAAGGTCTACAGCAGTGAAATGCTACCAGGGAATCTTCCCATCAGATACCAAGAAATTTCTTGCACTCCTTAGGCCAAGCTCATTCTCAGTCCATAAATTGTGTGGGGTTTTTTTATTACGTGGATGGGCCCTACTACCTCTTTTACTTGCTGATACAAGTGTTAAACCCAAAGATTAGGAAAGATGGATCTATGTATTTCTATTGCAATCAGGTCCCACATAAGGTACATATGCTCAGATAGATACTCACAGGCAGCAGACTCCTGCCTTCCCTACCCTCTTGCCCACCCTGTGTTAAGTTCTAGTACTGCAACACCTTAATGAAACAGCTATTTTAACTTAAGAAAAAAAAACATTTTGTAGATTTTTGTCTGCTTAAGCTTGACATAGCTAAAAATAGAGCTCTTCCCACCTTTACCCCAGCTGTATATGCTTACCTCCTTTTCAGCCAGTACAAGATCACCCTGTCACTCATGTCCAGATGAAGGACATCATCCTGAACTCAGACCTCACTTAATAGGAAACTTAATATTTTTTATCATATGACTTTCAGATAGCAAGCTTATCAAATAAGCCATGTTCTTTTTGTTTGGGCCACTGTGTATAAAATAAGATCAATTAACAATAATAAAGAATTAAGACATTATTAGGCTGTAGAGGTGTTGTACTGTCCACTAGCTTAAGCAGACAGTCAGAGAAAAGCAGCAACTGAGCAAGTACATATGATACTATCTACTGATTTCCCAACTTCCAATTATTTTCAGCTTTGGGTATTTCTTGATCCTGATGTAGTTTGTCCATTTAGTGGCCTGTAATGAGTCTTACTTCTAAGACGCCAACCTCCTCTCACAGCTTCCTGACACCTCATTCAGATGAACTTCAGATAAAGTAGTTACTTTGATTCTTTGATTCTTGATGAATTAGTGTTCTTCCTACTTATAATGTCCAATTGTGGTAGTAATAGTCTGTCTTTCCACCTCTTCCCATGGTTCCAGGGGGGCAAGAGCCATTTTACAGAATACTATCACAGACACCTTACTTTTTATCTTCCTTCTTGTTTGCTTAAATGTTCTTCTCTTTGTCAATCATAGTGATGCACCACAACCAGTTACCACTTTCCAGCACTTTTTAGGAGACTATCCAGACTCCCCAAGGAGTTTTGCCAACTGATAGTCACTGTGCAAGCCTGCAAGCCTCTTGGGGTCACAAACCCAGCCACCTGAATGTGCAATGACACATTCTTCCACCCATTAAGCCTTTCTCTTCCTCACTGTTGGAGAAAGAAATTATGTGCAATACAAGTAAAAATGTCATTCTATTCTTTTTTAATAATTAAGACTCCCTCCCTCCTAACAAGGTATGAAAAATGTGAACATAAGCCAGTGATTCCCACTGATTTCAGTGGGCTCTGGCTCAGGCTTTTAACGACACTGACTGATACACTTTTTCCAGACATATCCTTTCATCCATCAAACCATTCAGTCGTTCTGAAAAAATCTGGGATGTAAAGAACATCTGCCACAATGAATATAAAAAGCACATACCTGCTGTTACTAATGGGAAGTATTCTAAGAGCTTGGATTTTTTAAAAAAAATAATTAATTTTCTAAGAATAATTACTTTGAATGTGAATGTCGATGACCCTTCTCACATAAAGCTTTTCCAATACAATCTTGTTTTGGTCTCAGTGAGGACAAAAGATGCTTCAGTTACAGTGACAAAAATCTTTGTGAATTGCTATAAAATAAAATCCACTGAAGAGGGTTTCTATGGTTTCCTTTAAAGTTCTATTTAGTCATTATCTGTAAACAAAAGAAGCTGAGCTGGCCTGGTTTGTATTTGTATGAAGAATTATAATTAAATAATAAAACCAGTAAGCAATAAAGAAAGGAAATAACTGCTTTTAATGTTCTCTGTTAAATGTAATTGTGACATTGAGGAATAAATATACTTCTTTTTCTAATATTCATTATTTAACTGATTAGTACAATGTGTAGCAAAGACACAGAAGACATCTTTTATCATCACAGATTTTATATAAACTAATATAGTTTTAATCGTTTTGCAAAAGTGTGCAGGTTTTCATTGAAAAAATTGTATTTTAAGAATTTGAGCTAATTTAAGATTCAATTTATTGCAAAAGAAAAGGAATTCAGTTATGTTAGAGTTCTACTTCATCAAGACATATATATACTTTTTTTGTTGTTTTTAAAGGAGATAAACAATTCCCAAGACATGTCTTTGTTAAGGCACCCTGCTGGCAGCATATGGCAAAAATACTGGCACCTTGCCTGGACAGTGCAGCAAGAACTGATGGATCTGATCTCATTCTGTGACTGGGGGAGAAAACAGACTACAGTGAAGGCCAGTCTTATTGCCTGCAACCATCAATTTCTTGGCAAGAAGCACAAGCTCCTGAAAACAGATGTGGGAAGGTGAATAGATTTTGCAAGTAAAGGAAAGAGATTTTACCTTCCCAAATGCTGGTAGGGCACACAGAACAGTCCCTCTTACACCTGGACCTTCAGAAGTCTCTGTGTAATTGTATTTTATGTGAAATAAATATTCCAAGGTATAAATGCTTAAGAAATAAGAGTGCTAATTTAATATTTTACAGGTCAGTCTCAATCTCAAGTGTTTCCTGAGAATGGTGATGGAATCCTGCAGCTGTGGGGCTTCTGAAAAAGTAGATTTTCTTCCATGCTGCAGTATCACTGAGCCAGACATTCAGAGTGATGACCTGTTTGATGTAAAAAAGAAAAACACTGACTTTTTTTTTTCTACATTATTCAAAACTTCCTTGGGAGTGCTTAGTTCTGGAGGGTTTCATGGTAGCGAGTGGAGAGGAAATCTGTTGTAATTGTGATGGTTGATAAACCAGACATGCTCAAGAGGCTCCCAACAGTCAGAAGGCCTCCAATCCCAAATATGGGCAAGATTTCTAGGTAGAGGATTCCACTCCATCTTTCATGGGATATTTTTAATGCTAAATACCACCCTATAGCTATGATAATGTTTATGACTATACAGATTGAGTATGCTTATTACACTGTGACAATTATGGGGGGAAATAGCAGAAATGCAGTATTTAAAATATTTAACAGAAAATACACTATTTTTACAAAAAAAAACCCAAAACAAAACAGAGGAGCTTTAGAAGCTTTTTTTACAGTCTCTGAAATTTAGCAGGAACAACATTCTGATGTTGAAGATGTACCTTTCTTTGTCCTCTTAAATATTTCATGTTTTACCTTAATTTTAAAAGGATCGCTAACCCCTCCCTCTTACTCATTCCACTTCTTTTTCCATTCCCAGATGATGAGAAAGGGAGAAATGAGACAGCCTGCTTTAACTTCTGTCCCTTCAATACTTCTACTGGAAAGGGAAAGAAAACACAAACAAAACTATTACACCATTGGGATATTTCTCATCAAATACAGAACTGAATACATTTCCAGATTGCTTTAAGTTTTTGTCACACTCAGCAAATGTTGGGAAAATTAAAATATCAACATATTTTTTAAATTCCACTGACATTTTAACTTATTTTGTTGTTTTCCTTAATGAGAATGTCCAGCCATAATGATGTCTCCTTAGTCACAATGATGGTAGGGTGCAGTTTCACATGAAATCTGCCATCTTCCATTCTCAATTTCTCTATCAAATTTTGCAATTATCCAACCATACCATGAGCCAGATTTAGCTTTCTGATCTGACAGAAAGCTACCCTACCAAGGAGCAGTGTGTCTCCAAGACCAATTGGTCCAGTGCAAGCCAGGGCAGGGACAGGAACTTGTGGGTAGAGATGAAAGCAGGCATGACTACCTGGCCCACCAGCAGTTCATGTTGGATCAGGTGTGCTACACACAGCCAGTGGTGGCTACATGATAAGATCGGTAAGGCTTGTAGTGAGAGGGTACAATCCCATTGCCCCTCTCCTGTTTGCTTTTCTTGGATGCTTTCTGCAATCACATATTTGATGCTTGCATTAGCAATGTGCTGGAACTGATCCAGATAACAACTTCTGTTTTGTCTTTTTTGCACATCCTTATGTGAACTGGTGCTGGTACATGAGTAGCCAAGGGCAAAGGGTGGATAAAACTGTCTCTCAGAGTAGCACTTTGGACTCACTGTGAATTAAAATAACTCTCTAACCTTGGTCTTGGTGATTCACAACATCCTTTACTGTTCCATGCCATAAAATCATACCCGTCTGTGTTCTAACTACTATTTATTTGTATTCTGTGACTCAAGGTGTCTCTAAAGAAAAAAGATTCAGGAAAACCACAGCACATGGTCCTCTGTTTTTCCCCTAAGATGGCTCTTCTCTCTTTCCCAGATTCTGTGGTCATGAAACAGAATACCAGCAAGTCAATATAAATTAACTAAGGCCTTGAAAATCACACGCCTTCTCCCCTCCCAAATCAAATGGGGGAGCAGAAAGGAAGAGATAGGGAGCAAAAATTCCCACTTCCCTGATTTGTTTCTTCAGAAGCATCAGTGTGGATTACTTCTTTTAAAGCCCCTTCCACTAGAATTTTCTGATTGTAAGTCACTAATTATTTTCAGTTTCAGTAATTTATTTTAATCAAATCTGATTTTACCCTACAAATCCACTGAACCTAAGTTTCATAACAGATTGTTATTTTAAAGACGTATTTATTTTACTTATTTAAAAAGTAGTTCATCTTTAGACTGGCCACCTAACATGATTTTTTAATTATTGTTTAATTAGCAATGATTCTACTGCTGAGAGGTTGTGTAAAATGTGTCTCCTATGAGATATGGTGTTTGCCTTGGGTATTGCTTCTCAGAGCTCCAGCATATTAAATTCTGCTTGCAGAAGATACCAATTTTAAAATCTATTCATTTAATCCACATCTGTTCTGCATTCCATGGAGAAAATACAAGAGTACTGGGTGCCTGAACACTTTAGGAGTACTACATGTGTTTGTTAAGACAGCTCTTTCACACATATGCTTATGTCTTTGTAAATAGGGATGGCAGCCTGAAAGAGGTGTTTCTTAAGGGCACATCCCAAAGAGGAAAAACAGATGGGCAGAGACAGCATCAGTGGAGTAACATATCAAAGTATACAAGCTTGTAAGGTAGTCAGACAAGTAGGTTAGTGAAAGACAGGAGTCCACTTTTTTCGACCAAGGGTGTTCTGAAACAAGAAAGTAAACAAACACAGCATTCTGTTGTATCTAATCAGATTTCTTGCACAGTGAAAAATAAAAACAGCATTTCATAGAAAAAAAAAAAAGTACTTTACAAAACATCTTGTTAATTAAATTTGTTAACTCTTACATTCTGTCTGTTCTCAATGAGAATTTTTGATGCCTTAATACATGTCAGAAAAAAAAAAATAAATCATGATATGCTGTAGTTTTCCCCTTAACATAATTTTCACTTCAGTCTAGACTCTGCTGTTCAAATTAAAAAAGAAATTCCTGTTCAGAGGTCTTAGTACAGGTATCTATTTCATGCAATCACATGTGAATTTTACAGATATACTGTATACATCCTTCAAAGAAGGATAGTCTCAGCCACATAGCAGAACGTTATTATCCTTCTCCAATAACTATAATAATACAATATCTTACATTTAAATAACACTGTATTTAAAGAAAATATGGGAATACTGCTTCTTGGTAAGTGGTACATCACTCAATTTTTAATGGAGCAGATGTCTCAGAAAAATCCCACAAGTAAAACTAGAGTATTTTTACTTTTCATGTAAAAGCTGCCATTTGATGCAGCTTTTGTGATTTACTAGAGAGACCATAGAATACTGTGTATTCTTAGAAGCAGAACCCTGAGTTTTGTACTAATCTAGATAAATTAATATAAAGACTAAAAATGTAATTTCTCAACATTTGTGGCCTATGAGTTAGAGCACAATGCAGCGCTTTAATCTGCATCCAGGCTGAAACATGGTCTGTCTCCTTTCCCCCAAGTACAGTATATTTCTTTAGTGGCTAATACCCAGGAAGGAGTAAAGCTGATGCTGGATTTCATATTCTGCTATGCTACAAATTATCTGCATAAAGTACTAATGGTTCAAGTAAATGTTATAATTGAAGAGAATTCAAGTGCAAAAGGGTGATGGCTTGGAGATCAACTACTTACCTCTTTACAAGATCCTGGCACTGTGCCCTTCCATACCTATTTTGTTTATGTCTAAATTGTACTTCAGGTAGCAAAGGCAGGAAAAGGTTCAGAGCACTGCCAATAGTTTATCCTCAGCTATAAATTTTGTTGTCTGCAAAATCAGGCTGCTTACTGAACTGATCAGCCCTTGCAATGTCTGACATCATAGCCCATGTAGGACGAACTCTAAGATTATAGATTTTGTACAGCGTAAATCATGAGAGAATACCAAGAAACAAGTATTAATAGATGTTCTGCACAAGCTGTCCACGTTCACACCAGGATACTGCAGGTAACAAAAGCATGAGGTTTATCCAGTAACATCTTCTGAAATGGAACTGAAGTCTATTCCTGTGCAGCAGCTTGTATCTTCAGTGATTTTTGGCAAGGGTCAAAGATAACATCCTGGAAAAGTGATTTACTCTCGCTCTACTTCAGATTGCCTCTAGCAGCCGCCTGTATCTTTCTACTGATTTCAGACAGGAAACATGCTTAAACTAAACCCCTAACTTCTGCATTTCCACAGTTTTGTGAAATATATTACCCACACAGCACTGCCATTCACTGAAACACAAGCAAAACACATTCCACATTCATGCTTTTCAGATGGCTCTGTATTTACTCAGCAGTGTTAGGATCTGCAACATAATCCAAATACTCTGAAAGTGATCAATAATGGTTCTGTCATGTAGTATTAGCAGCTGGATTGACATGTCTCTTCTTCCTGCAGTGCAAAACTACACACAAAACATTATCTTGCAATTTCTATGCAGTAAACCTTTCTACTTTGCAAACATTAACCTTCCTCTCAAACCTACAGAAAAGAGGCAAAAAATGTTTTCTCTGGTAAGTAAATGAATAGCATTCTTAACTTCCAAAACAGCAGTATCTGTCCTCCTGTTTACAAATTGCAAGAATCCCTTTTTAGCCTTTCCATAAAGAAAGCAAAAGCATATGACTCACGTTAGTGGAAGACAGATGAGATTTTCTCCAGCCTACGTTTGTGGAAAATAGCTTGATCAGAATTATGTCTAATCCTGTCCTCTAAAGGGTCTATCACTGTCTTAAATGAAAACAAGTTTTGGCTTATTGGAATTGTTAGATTTGGGAGCTTTATTCTTTCCATAACTTGTGTTTCTATTAAAATACTGACATTCTCCACTAAAGAAAAAATGCAGGAAAATAAATTAAAATACAATATCTATTTATACTTCTCTTACTTTGTAATCCTTTGTTGGCACAGCTTGTGCAGATAATGCCACAGCAGTAAGACTTGTGTAAACATAGGTTGTTTTCATGTTTCTTTGTTAACATTATATTGTTCTCTTTAACGTTTGGAATATATAGTGAACATGAGGTCTCATATATCATTCCTTACAGCTGTTGCACCATCAGTTATACTGTATTTTTACATTTCAGAAACTGCTTATAAGCAGCTTGCTCTGTTTCCACATGGCCTGAATCAATCCTGTGTCAGCTGCATCAGTGTCTCCTAAGCAGCAATATGTCCTGGAAAGAGCTGTCAATAACAAATTATCACTTTTCTGGTAAAGAAGAACAAATTTATTCAGAGAGCAAACTCTGATAAGATTTTTATAAATAATTAGCCAATAGCTGATGAAATATAATAGGCTTTGGTAGCATGAAGCTGACTGTCATGCCAGCTGTGGAAATCCATGACTTGTCAGTGTATGTTTCCAGCATAAAAAAACCTCAAACAGCTGAGATTTGAGTAAAATTTCATAAAAATATAACAAGCAAAATATTAATCAAAGGCTAACTTAGATTTTTAATATCAGAGCAGAGGACTTGTAAGAACTATCTATTTCACCCCCAGCATATGTAAAAGAAACAGCATGGAATGTCCCTGGAAGCATTATTCAAGTGTGCTTCTCCTTGCTCCACAGCCAAAAATAAAAAAAACATCCTTTTAACACCATGCATTAATATGAAAGATCAAAAGCCTTAAAACAATTATAGGCATTAGATACAGAAGCAGTGTTAATTTGTCTCAAACAGGTTAAATAGATGAAGCAGCATCTAGTTACAAAACAGTTCCAGGTACCAGTCCTGTTATATTTTTAGTGAAGATTTTCACTTTCTATCGAGGCATTAAACTTCTTTATTTTTTCAAATCAAACACAAGAGCAGCTTGCAGGGAAGTACCACCTATAGATGCAATCACAGGAAAGAGTTTACCTGTAAAAGGGCACTTAATTAGCATGTTTTTAGGGGCATTTTTCCAATAACTTCTTGCAGTCTTCTGGTCAGGTTCAGCTTCTCATTCGTGTGAGGCCTGTATTTTGGATCCTAATTGTTGGCAGATTATATAATTTAAAACAAAATATATTCTTAATATAGAGACCAGCTCTTTCATTTGCTGTTTTGAACCTAAGGAGTAAGCAGGGACCGCAATTTTGCTCCTCTTCAGTATTTGATTCTCAGCTGTTCTGCTTTTGCCATGTCATTCTTTCTCGCTTTCTGTTCTTAATGCTCATGGAATGATGTTAGATTTGAAAAAAAAGCCCATAGATTTTATAAATGTTGGCATTTAAAACCTGAATACTTTAATCCATTTTGGAATATCTTATTACTCTTACACATGCCTATTTCTGGTTTTCTCCCATAATTACTAAAGTCTTTCAACTGAAATGTTTTCTTTTCTGTAGGCTTAGAATAACCATTGCTGGTGGTAGGTTCTTTAACCTGTTTGCTCCTGCAGGATGTGTCATCTGAGGAGCCTCCCACTGTCTCAGCCCATGCTGCTCCAACATCTCTAAAGAGATTGAACTGAGCCAGATTTGAACCTGTTTACTGAAAGGTAAAGAAAAATAAGTCAAATCCCATTATAAACACAAGCCATATAGCCATCTGGTTCCCAGTGAAATACATGCTTCAATAAGTCTTCTATGCAAGGAATGGGTAAGAATATTTTTATGCTAAGAACTGTCCTGCCCAATGATTCTTTCTATACTCTATATGGACAAACAAAGACCTCCCCTCTAGATTTTTGTATGCATTTTCACCTATAACAATTTATGAAAGCTAAGAAACTGGTATTTTATAAAAATTACGTTCAAGGACAAAATTCAGCATTTGACTTCTAAATACTTGTAAATATATCCACATTCTGCCAGAAGATGCTTAACTTCAGGAAAGATTAAGAAAATTCTTGCTTCATTTTATTACTGGTAATTTCAGTTTTGCTAAATAGCACATATGCACAAATTCATTGTCTTTGTATAAAAGTATTATTTATTTTCATTTAAAAATAAAAGCCTTTATTTCAAAGAAAGGATTTACTTGCTTTTAAGCTACAGCAGTCTATAGATAGCTATACAGTTAATAAAAGTGTAATACTACAAACGTTCTGTACATTATGGTTAATAACTCTGAGCTTACTAATAACTGTAAAATCCAGGCCAAAATTTGTATTGCAATATAAATGAATAATCATAAGTGATACACATAAATGCAAGTAAACTAAAAAGATCGTCTTAAAAAACAATCTGTCTTCACAGAATATTATTCTTTGACTTGTTGAGCAGACTATAAATTCTAGAAAACTATTTTTCCCTTAGTAACAACCAACCAATGTCATTAAGTTTTTTCTTTCTAAGATGTGTAGCACACCTATTTAACAGAAATTTTCGTTTTATGGTCACTAGCAGGTCACTGCGTATGTCTTCATACAAAGTCATTCCAGCTGAAATCTGGTGTATGTATTTTTTAAGTAATAATCTCTTTATAAACCTAATATTGTTGTATATTTTTAATAGAGGTATGAAGAGAAAAAGCTTTATTAACCTATACTTTCGACAGACATAAATAAGATAATATTTCTGTACCCTATATTTCAGTACCATTTGTTACTCATTTCTTCTTTGTTATAGGCTTCATGTGATTTTGTTAGTATTCAAGATTTCCACCAGCTGTTTTCCATTCTCCATGGTTGTCTTTTATGCAACGCAAATTTTTATTGCAGTTTAAAAAAAAAAGCCTCTGGTCTACATCCATGTTTTTCTTTCTTTTTTTTTTTTTTTTTTCTTTGTAAATATAACTACCTGTAACATACTAAAATCCTTACTTTTTTTTTTTTTTTCAGAACCATTACAATATTTACAATGTTTACACTTAACAGAATATTTTATCTCAAAGTGCTATATTGCAATGTTACTGCCCCTATACATCCATCTCACTCCCCTCAGTTCCCTTACTGTCCTTAGACCAGAATGCAAGAATAGAATATGCAGCACCTCCATTTCACAGTGGTAATGTAAGTCAGACTTTTATTTGAAGTGTAAACAGATTGCTCCAAATGGTCTGGCAAAGGTGTGCATACATATAGCCTGTTCTGCTGTTCCCACCCACTAAATGCAGAGAAACATCCTTGATGATATAGGACAATTCACAGCAAATTTAGTTTCTCAATCTGTGGCCAACTGGAACATCTGAAAATCTAGTATTCTCTCCTTCCTGTTTTCCTCCAATTAAAATATATAACTTAAAAGCAATTATAATTCTCTCAATTTTATTTTTTTTTGTGAATGGACTGATTATGTCAATTCTGTGCAATTCTTCAAATAACTTCTGATTTTATTATGACTTCATATTCCTTTTCTTTAAGAGATCAGACTTGATTATATCTGTGGCTAAAATAAATTCCTTTTAGTATTTAAAAATGAAGTGCACTGTAATTGATGTTAAACAGAGTAGAAATCTGTGGTTGTATGATGCATAAACAGGTAAGGTTTAGGGGAAAAAAAGGCTTTAGAAAGGCCACCAAATATGAAAAACAAAGCATATAGAATAGAAGAAACACTTCTGACACCAAAAGCTCAAATAAGCCTAACAATAGTAAGAAGATATGACAGCAATCGAAGAACAAGTGAGAGACAGAAGGCATGAGGTGAGGCTGTACCAGAAAATTAAAGAGGAAAAAATGAATTATAAAGCACCAGAATAACCCAAGGGTTTGATTTTTAGCAGTGCCGAGCAACACTCCACATTGAGCCCCTGAGTTCTTAATGGAACAATTCACCACAAAACATTGCCAAAATTCCTGAAGGATTTGTGGATTCACTTATTTAAAAAGAAGAAGCCTACACCAAAATAATTTTACTAAGCATAAAAGAAGTGACTAGTCTAATGAAAGCATCATAACACATAAAGACACCAAACATTAAGAGAAAATAAATGTGTTTACTTTCAGTATGAGAAGCTAAGTGACAGATAAAAGTGGTAAAATTCTCTACCTTAATCTAGTGTTTACCCTCTATAAGGGAATGGATGGACTCTTGATGATAAAAAAAACAGTGAGTCTTCAAGTATGGTCAAAATATTGAAAGCATGACTATATATAATTATAGCATAGTTCAATCACACAAACATGGCAGCAAAGGAGGCATTTCTAAGAACAAGAAAGCAGCCATGAGGTGCCTAGAGTTTATACCCAGAATTTCACCACACTGATGCCCACACTGGGTGTACTTTAAAAATATTAACTCACAATTTCTAAAATTATAATTTAAAAAAATCTGTCTTCTGCTTGTTTTCAAACTTTTTTTTTTTTGTCTGTAAAATTCATTAACATACACAGAAGTCCAAGTAACATCAGTAATAAGACACGTATATGAACAATGAACCAGCTGAGTCATACAGGCTCAGGTAATAAAAGTTGATGTACACAGTGGTTAAAAGTTATGAAAGCCCAAAAAATATATGACAAATTTTGTAAATTGATCATGTCTTGTGCCTCTGTTTAAATTCATAAAAGCACAAGAAGCCAGCAAAAGTATAAATAATTGCAAAAAAAATACCAAGCAGCATATAAACATCATTATATATTTCCTAAAAGTAGGTTCCCAAGCCATGCCTACAGCATGTAATGTATCCCTGATGGTCTTCCCTTAGTGGCATAGAAAAAGGCTACTCAATGTCTCAAAATTTCTGCCCCTTAGCTTTATATCACCTGAGCAGAAGAAAGCAGACTGTTTTAACCTGAGGCAATTTTTGCTGAGCAACCCCCACATGGTTATCGGCTATCCATCTACCTTTTGGTCTCTCTCTGGTTACTCTGCAGCTGCTTTGGCAACTGGTATTTCCTGTGATCCAAATATATGGTGGAAAGTTCAACTACTGTACAAAAGAGTGTTGCAGTGTCACCTTCCAAGTTACTTGTAGAGGTTTCGGAGATTTGTCTCTGATAAATGAAATAGCAGCAATAATGTTATTTTCAATCCTTCAAATGCATGGGAAAATTGTTCTTTTCAGTTGGGAAAAATGTAAAATTACTGTCCCCACCACGTAACATACATTGAAACACTTAACACTCTTGGAGCACACTATGCTCCTTTTCTGTTTATCAACTCTGAAACAAATGAGGGAGAAAAGTAATAGGATTGTACTGCTCCAAAGAAAACATTGTTATAATTTTTCTGGTGTCATCCAGTGATTGGCAAAAGTAACTGTACAAGTTACGAAATATGGCCAACTGTCAGCATGTTTTTCTTGTCCGTGGTTACATGTTAGCCAGATTAAAAGGGCTCAGGCAAACTGAAAATATTCGATTATAAAAGGATAAGCAAAAAAAACCGACTTTTTTATTTATTTTTTTTTTTTTTAGAATTTACTGTCACAGGGACAATTTGAGACAATGCTTGAAAAGAAGCAGAAGCTTGTTTGTGAAACTAGTAAGTGAAACAGAACACAACTCTTTGCTTACATGTTTACTCTCTGCCATTTCATTAAATTCTTTACTTCAGAATTTTACAGATGTATAACCACACAAACCATTAGCATTCACGTGAAGTGATTCTGTTTCTTACCTAGAAATCTTTTTTGTCTTAGGTTAGCTTAGCATTCTGATACCTAGAAGAAATGTCTTAATGACTAAGTGCAAACTTATTTTTTGGAAGACATTGTACATCGAAGTAGCTGCTGATCCCACCCAATGACAGGCGTTAGGTTCCCAATTCCGTATTAGACTAAAATGTACAGACTTGAGACCAAGCTAGGACAACTTTTGGACACTCTACAGCAGGCAGCCCTGTGGCTTACTTACAATTACCTAACGAAGTAACAAAACCCAGACCAACCTTGGCCAAAATATGACATATTTCATTACTAAACCCTGCCGAAGATAATTTTTTCGTTATCATGTACACGTTAAATTTTAAAATCAAAGGTCTCTCTCAATGCTCCATATGCACACTTTTGCCACTCTGACTGTAACAGAATAATTAACTTGGCCGTTTTATGATTATTTCCACTCTTTTACCTTTTTCAAATAACGATACCCTCACCCTCCTCTCACCTGCAAACTACCCCCTCAACTTTTAAGCCGGGTGATGTACAGTCGGAGCTCCCCAGGGAGGCTCGCCTCGCCTCGCCTCGCCTCGCGGAGGCCAGGGCACGTTCGCACAGTCCCGGGCCGCCACAGCCCTCACAGCAGTCCCGCCGCCACGGAGGGCAGGCACCTCTAGCGGCTGCTGGTCCCGTCTGGGCACAGGCTGCAAGGCAGCACAAGAGAACAGGAAGGCGATGTGAGAGGAAAGCGCCAAGGCGAGGGGAGGACGCGGACCCGCGGCTCCAGCCGCATGAGGCTCC